GAAAAATGTTGATAGCCGCTTTTAGTTAAAAATAATGTGCTTCAGCTTCAGAGTCAGTGACCCCATCTCGATCAGGTTTTTGTCCAGTTTCCCTGATACATTGAGCAAATGCTGAGATGGCCCCTTGTTTTTCTTCTGTACGTAAATGTAGCTTCACTATGCGCACGTTTTGTTGAAATCTCCTTTTGTTTGTAGTGGTAGAGCTAAGGGCGAGTTACTATTTTGTTAGCAATGCAGCATAATCATACTTGCAATTTGTTTACCGATGCAAATAAAGTTTTCAATAACTCGGAAACGAAAATGACTAGTTTCTTTCAAATATTGCTAATCTTGCGCTATTTAAAAATTTATTTTTATTTATTTCCTTTAAACTTTTACTCATCTTTCAACTATTTATAGTGAAAATGATTGGAAGAGATTCTGGAACTTAAGAAAACGTTCGCAGATGATCTCCCCCATAACTCACATACTGTTCTTCCTTTTTTGGCTAATAAATCTAAATCTAATTTTTTTCTCGCCTGTTAATCCATAGCTAATGGACGAAAATTTGAGTCAATAGATTAAGCATATTTTGCTAGTCAGTTCTCCCTTCTAATCACGTCAATCCATCCTTTTTTGACATCTCAGATTGGAAATTACTGAAAACGGAACGAAACAAGAGTGCATTAGAGAGAGCTGATCTTGAATTTCAAAACACACTACAGGGACCTTGTCATTCACTAGTTTACTTATTTCCCACCCCTTTTCCATTAGTCACTTTTATCAAACAATTTTTACAAAAATAATGGTCAACTGACTCTGAAATTTATTAACTAAACTAATTATTTTATTGTGTATTAATATTACATTCACAATCATTATGTAAATAATTTAGCAATTGCCAAACCCCAGCAGATATTGAGTAAAATTAAAAATGTTCATAATTAACCGTATATAACACCGACAGCGAACGAATCTGTAGTGATTTAAGATGGCGGCGAGCGCCAGGTTTTGGCTTCAGTAGCGCCAACGAATAGACCATTAATACTAAACTGACAATGAACGACTCTTTTCGAGACCTGACGATTGCGCCTCTTGCCATATTGTGTCACTACAAATTCGCCCAATGGCATATAATGTTCTAAGGTGGTCCACAAGAAAATCTATAAATCTAGGTTTTCAATACATTGCTGTTGAAAAAAACTAATATTAAATGGAAAACAATATTAAGGATATAAAGAAATTGATGTCAAGATTTTTAAACGCTTTTATTTCATGTTAAAAACAGCACTCGTTTCAGTGTGTGATTTAAAAGTTACAGAGGAGAGGGATTATCTTGAAATTTGCTCTTTGAGTCAAGGGAAACGATGAGAACCTGATTGACAAGGAAGACAGTTGACCTCAAAGTTAATTACCATATTTTTTATAGATACATAAAATTTGAGAGGTGTACATAGCATTGAAATAAACATCACGGTTACTTGGTCTTTTCTTTACAATAATAATCGTTTGAGTTATAATAATAATAATAAATAATGTTTTAATAATTATGTTTAAATATTTTTTTAATAATTATGTTTGAATATTAATTTTATAATTATGTGTGTTCAATTAAATTAACGTTCTTAATACCACTCTTGCACCCTATATGCATCGAGAAGCACTGCAGCAAAAACCTGATTATCATTATTGATATCACTAAATTCCAGCAGCATGTGACATTTTTTAAAATAGAATTTCTTGGTGTTGATTTTTGTGGCGTCTTCAAGGTTTTGGACTGGAAAAATGTTGGGAAGGCGTCGTTTCTTGCATGTTAAATCCACAACTTGGACAAAAATGTTGTGAGTAAATAGGTGACGCAGATATAGGTTGTTAGTTGTCCCGTCAAATGTCGTTAATCCATGATTTTATAAAAAACTGGAATGAAAATCAGAAAAAAACAAGAAAGAATTAGAGCTTATGTTGAAATACAAAACCTACTACGACACACGCAAACTTATTTTCTCAACCGATTTGAATTAGTAAGCGTAATCAAACAATCATAACAAAAATAAAAACTGTCAACTGGCACTGAAATTTAATATTATTACCATTGTCATGAGAACATAGCCGGAAAAATTAATAACTGTCCTGTCGTTTGCCTGGACAGCCCGACACACGACTGGCCGACCAGCGCAGAGTGGTTGATTTCCAGAATCTAGCGGTATCAAAAATGCATATGCTCGAAACAATTTATAACCTACGTGGGCGGGTACCTAATAGTCTTGCCAGGACTGTACCAGTCCCCATAAGTGCAACATTAATTTCTGAGAAGAATGGGGGTACGTTCAGCGAGCGCTTCCGAGCGGCGCGCGCAGCCGTGCGTAAGTCCTGCTTTAACGCGCTTGATGTCATTGCCCACTGCCACTGAATTGTTTAGGATAACTTTGATTGTTCGAAATGGATGAGAATCCGCAAGGTATGTTCTTTAGAATGCACTAACGTTTAATAGAACATTTTACATTTTTGGCTGTATTTTTTTATGCGAAAGTATCACCATGTATTTGAGACAGGTTTCTTAGTGATCGGAAATTTAAACTGAGTTATCTTGAGTTGCCAGCGATTGCCAAGAATGCTCTTTGCACGATTGTATTCTCTAAACCTGCTGAAACAAAATGGTGCAAAACATTTTTGCCCGAATTTGCCCTATTTCGAAAAAAACTTTTTTTTTCAGATGCTTGTACAGTCACTCGACTATTCGAGCTCTTGCATGAGGGTGAACTCTCTCATGCAACAGATTTGCGGAATAGAAAATTGCTAATGCAGTATGTTTCCCGTAATGTTCTTGGAAGTATTCCAGATGCAGTATTAAGTAAGAAGATACGGAGATTCACCTGCCAAATTGCTGACAAATGGAAGGCTTGTAACAGATTGGTAGTCAGATTCGCGGCAACGAACCCTGCATGACTGGGCGGCGAATTGTGTGCCAAGAAAGAAGCGTAGAAAACAACGAAAGGTAGACATGAAAAAGAATTATCTTCATTTACGAAGAGGACAAAAAGGCAAAAAGTACAGAGAGATTTTACAGATTTAATAAATTCGAATGTGTGAAGGTGACACCACATAGGACAAATGCAGAAATAGCTCGTTTAGAAAAAAACAAAACATTAAGAAGCTTCAAGCAACAAAATTGAATATTGGGGGGTGCAGATCTCTATATATCACAAATTATTCAAATATGAGGGAAAAGTGTGTAATTCACTTGTGTTGAAGCCTCCTCTCATAAGTTCTTTATTTATGATGCAGCTCCAAAACAAATGAACAATCTGAAACGAATTATTTAAAAAACCTTGCTATAAGGAAGCTCAAATTCGTTCCTTCGGATCCCTTCTTCACATTTCTTTCAGACTATAATTTATAAAATGACGGGTTCGTGGATATGAAGAAAAGATACTGTAATATCCCAGGAAAACGCAAATAATTGCCTAATTTCGAAAGAAAATCCTCCTCCTTATGGACATCCTAAAACAAGGAACGATGGGAACACTGTTCGACAATTTGGCCGAAATCGGGAGCAGTATAATAACATCACTGGAATAGATGAAAGTCTCATACGCCACTTCTGTTGTTTTACAAGCATTGAGGAGCGGATAAGATGTGATTACGGAAGCTTTCAGAAAAACGCATTTGACCCAACAAAATTTTGTCAGTTTATACGGACGGGTACTTCACGTCTGTAACAGTGCACAAAATATAAATTCATGGCGCTGATGTCATCAATGAAATGGTTGTCCTAAGAGGACAACTGTTCGAAGACACGCAGGACGCGCGGCACCAAGACTTCAGTAATGTCGAGAAAGAAATACTTGAAAATCATCTAGAGAACGTGGCAATGAAGATCTGCTTCAACTCCTATTGATTTCTTCTGACTCATTAAAAACAAGCATCCGGCTATCAACTATGGAAATTGACCAGCTACCGACGTTAGGTATAAATTAGAATCAGAATATTTCAATTTGAGTTAGTCTCTCATGAACCTTTAGTAGGAGTAAGTAGTTCCAACATTGATAACTGGGCAATCATTATCAAGACTCGAGGACAATGAATTTATTATTATATTTCGTCCCTAGATTACAATATAATGGATAATGTACAAGGAATAATTCTGACCATTTTAACACCGTTGGCTTTACCGTTCTATTCATAATATTTTAATACCGCTAGACGAAGGAAATCAATCACTGTGCAGCGGTGGCCCACCCTCTCGGCCATGAGATAAAGGGTTCGTGTGGTTAGCACGAACCCATCCCTCCACTGTATATGGTGGTCTTAGAGTTGGCTTTATCATCGTCACGCAGCAGGAGATACTGGAACATTTGTAAGGAAAGCGAACAGTTATGATCTTGCCCCGGCCGGGAATCGAAACCGGGGTTGTGTCGTGGAAAGCGAGCACGCTAACAAACGAGCCACTGAGTGTTTAATAACTAACCTGTGTATTGAAATTATAATTTTTCTTTCTGAAGCAAATTTGAAAAATTATATCCAAACACAATATAACTATTCACCATCGTGATGCAATTCATTCAGCAATTGCCATAGCCCAACAGAAATTGATTAAACTCAAGAAGTAAGCTTATAAATAACCCTACCTAACTCTGACAGCGAACGAATCTGTAGTGGGCTAAAGGTGAACGAGCTTTGACTTCACTAGCGCGAACGCTACGAGATAGGGCGTTATATTACGTCTATACTACACTATATCTCCGTGGTCGTAACGGTCACTAGTTAATTTAAGAACACAAAGACAGACACGAGTTTTGCTAATACCCGGCATCGACGTTATATTACGCCCAAGTATGTGTACAATAGTGATGTATAAATTTTCTATTGTGTATTTCTGTAATAAAATGTTTGTTTTACGATGAGCAGTTAATTTTCTGTGAATGCAGTTTTTCTGGCATACTGTGCTTGATTAAATTCATTTGCCATTCACAATTTAATCAAGCACTACTAATTTTCTCATATATTGTTTCTTTTTACAGAAATTTGGATACAATGATCCATCTATTGAAGGGAAATATAGGGACTGGTATTTTGGCCATGCCTGATGCATTTCGGAACGCAGGTCTGGTTGTAGGAACACTTGGAACTTTGCTTATGGGTGTGATTTGCACACACTGTATGCATATGCTGGTAAGAAGTGGACTATATTGAAATATCTTGCATGTGTGTTTTTTAATATAGTAATCACTGCAGTTGGTAAAAATTCACCAAATGTATTGACAATGTGTATTCCTTTAATGTGTTACTAGGAAAGACCCGTTTCTTCAAAGAATGATGACACATACCTGACATGTCTTACACTCTCTTTTATTATATAATAAGTTTGTTCTACCCTATTCTTAATCTTATAAAGTAATTGCATTAAATCACTTCCTGTTTGAAAGCACTTTAACTTTTTCACCTTGGCAATTTTCTTCAAATAAAATTGTAATACATTGTAAAACATAAGAAATATGATGAGGTGGGTGTACAAAATTGGCTCTACACAGCTCAGATTAATGCGATTGTTCTTTTATACCAAAACTGACCAACAGGAAGTCAATCAACCTTCAAAGTTTTCTTGTGGTAATATTGGAAGATTAATGATATACCTGATTTAATGCTTTTCATATAGTTCTGAGAAAGACATCGCAGATGAAATGGTTGCGATGACATTCTAAATTTTAGAACTTTATGAAAACTAATGTTCAATTTCAATTTATTTCATGTTACATAATACAAGAATGTGTATACACATGTACAATGTACATGTACATGTACATCCCTGCACTTCGCCGAGGGCAAAGTCCGAGATGTGACGAGTTGTGAAGACAATTCTAGTTTTACAATAAGGATAATGTCAGGTTAAATATTTTTTAATTACAAAAATTTAGAAAAAATACAAAATGTACAAAAAAGTATAAATAATTGCAACAGAAAAAATACATTCGCCGACACAACTCAGAGTGAAAGGAGAGCAGCCTTTGCTTTTTCATCATAGACTTAACACCCTCTTAGCTCAAGTTTACCAACCATTTCCTAAGTAGATTTCTATTAAATTTCTTATTCATGTCTGAATGCTTTAGATCTTCATTCACACTTTTAAAGATGGTGTAAACAACATACATTCAGCTTTTCCTGCCTATGTCCTTGTTAACTTTAGGAGAAGTGATAATGGACACTCTCATAGTCATGACTAGATTCGTTTACTCGTAGACACAATGCAGGTAGGAAAAGCTGTATAGCAGCGCTTTTTCTAAATAATTTCCTAATGGAAATTAAATTATTTTCGCCGAATAAATTCTCCGAGGAGTGTCGGAGTTTACAAATCAACATAATGAGAACGTACTTTTTTTTTCAGATTTTACTCAAATGTTAAATCATTATTTGTGAACACTCTATCAAAATTCTTTGGATTGAAATATTCACATATATTATGTTAATATCCTCAATTTGAAAATAAGTTCTAGTAGTTTTGATTTGTGACGCGTCAACTGGTAAGGTCATTAGTTCTATAAGTGTAATTCTCCTTGGGAAGTGGCGGTGATCCTCTCCCGCTAGATGGTGAGATCCGATGCCGACCCACTGTTGGCTAGCGTGGTTTTCCCCCAACCAGGTGTCTCCCACCAGTTGGACTCCTCCCCAACCGGGACAAGCTGTAAGCTTCCGGCCGACATGTCGTAGACTAGTGCAAGTAAGTGTGTGTACTGAGTGAGCATAGGACGAAGGAGAGGAAAGAAAGATCGCGCGCGGTCCTTGGCCGGTTTGTTGGGGTACTACTCTGGCATTCGCCTGGTATTGATCGGAGAAACCACGGAAAAGTACAGATTAGAACAACCAGTCGCTAGAATACCTCTCTAGAGAGCGGCTGAATTCGACCTAGCTATCTAGCTAGTGTCAAAAATCCTGCCACCGTCGGGACTCGAACCTGGGACTTCCTAGTCAGAGTCACTGCGGTGACATCAGCTGATGCTCTGTGACACCTCTCACGGTTTAGTAGTTTGAAAAAGTTCTACTTCTGTATTTTTGCACCTACTGTAACGAATGTAACATCCCCCTCCTGTAAGTGAATGTCGTTTTCATTTCTTTGCATGTCTTCTGGCCAGCATTCATTTCCTTTTATCGAAGGTTAAGGCAGGCCTGCACAGTATTTTGCACTTTCACTGGCTTCAGGAGTTGCGCGCGAGCAACTCTGCAAATGCGAAAATCGATGAAGAGTGGAGATGAGACTTATTCTAGGAGTGTGGACCACCAATAATACAATGCGCAATTCGAACCATAGGGCGTAAATTGAAGGAGCAATCGGCGAGAACATGACGGCGATTTTATACAGTTAAAGTAATATTGCCTTTTGTATTATATTGGAAGTGTTTGTTGTCGATATATGACCGTGTGAAATATGAAACTACAACGAATTATACAGATTTAATTTGGACACCAAATATTACAATTGCTTGTAGAGGTGATATAGTAATTCGCTTTGTTACGATGTAATCACAAATTTTGTTTTGCTAAACAAAATTATGAACTGAATTGTTTTTGCTGGATGATGACAAAAATAAACATTTTTTAACAAAGTTTAATTGAATTAGACGGTTCTATCAAAGCTAAAACATGTTATTCTTTAAAAACTATCATGATTATTTTCTGCCTTATATATTTATAATATTATTCCCCGTTGCATTCTATTTAACAAGGTAATATGATAATCTCCCCATGATAATCTCACGATTTCCTTTACGTATCGTCAGAGAGGCTAGCTCGTTGATATCTTTTTTTCAGATTCCTAATGGGGGAAATGGGCACAATCTATAAACATTACTCTTTTTGCAATTATCTGTATTATATGTTTGTGCAAAAACTTGATGCGAGATATTCCTCTCATATAATTTTCTTCATTTTGCTATCGTTAGAATATTACAACATTCCTGATGAACAATCAATTATTAAATTGTAAATTTTTGTTAGTTAGAATGAAATAATAAAGTTTTAAAAAAGGACACTGGTTTAAAATATTGCTTAAGAATTTCAACGAACATCAACTTAAAAAAATTAAAAAAAGAAAATATATGCAGTTGTGGATACAAAGTTGGAAACATACCATTGCACAGTAGAACGTGAACAGTGAATTGCGACCCTTATAGCTTGAAGTACGGGACAGCACCCATTTAAATAAGTGGGGAAAAAAGATTTCACAACATGGATCATTGTATTAGACACTCCGCCATTCAATCTATTCACCGCGTCATGCAATGTCAGGCTTCTCCCCTCTCCGCAAAGCTTCATACCCCCGCTACTTGCACTTTCGTCGCTCTCGCGGGCAGACGGTCATATTTCTAAATCGTATCCCTGTATATACTGGAGCTCCAAATTAAGCATTCTCATTAGTCCGGATCTTGGAGGCATTCTAAGTAATTAGAAATGTGCTCACTATGTGACTACGATGACCGTGTGAACTGAATGAAACACTAATGAACGATTCTTTGAGTGATATCTTCTCACGACTCCCCGTTTCCTCATCAGAATACAACATTTAACTATTTCTGAGGAGAATATACGAATAATGTTCAATTATTTCGGTAGTATTAATTGACTGATCTTATGCAATACGGAACGATTTGCTGGGACCAACCCGGCAGTACACGCGCCTCTTTCTGTAGCGTCAATGCCCGCACCTGATCACATAGACCCTTCTGCTTGCAAATATCGTAATTTAATTTACCCTCATAATTTAGATCAATGTAGTCTACCAGAAAAAGGATGAATACTCTTTTCAATAATGTGATACATTTTTATGCAATTAATTACTGTATTTAGTAGTTTGTATGCAAATGAAAAAATTGAAAAAAATTATATTGGCTGAAATATTATTTTCATTGCATTTGATATATTTTACATATACGTCAACATTCCTTCATTGCATGCTTCACGAACTGTTAGTAGATGTTTCAAACAAATAAACTTTTTGGGTTCGTAGGCTTCCGCGGCCGGAGTCAATATATTCTTGTACAGCACTACTATACACTACTTCGTCAGCAGTATAACTCTGAAGAACGCCACAGCAAGATGGCCGAAATGTCAGTCCAATTAACTGAGACGCTCCTCATCCCGGATAGCCAAGAATACAAATAAACTTTTTGCATATTTGGTACAATTTTTTTTAAGCCTCTTGACGTTCTAAACAAAGATCGTTGCAAGAGTGCATTCAGGTGGTCTCCGAGGCCCGTACAAAGTTTTGGATTGCTAAAAACGCTAAATCGCTAAAAATCTCGCTGCTAAAAACGATAAAAAATACTCGCTGAACTATTACGGACTGAAATAAGTGGACTGGAACAATCTTTTAACCTTTTCCTCTTAAGTGTTCAAAGATAAAGTATTTAATAATAGTTTATTTCATTAATTCATACCCTAGGCAGTTACATCAATTTTGATTAACACTGCAGTAAGGAACGTTAACTAATTCTTTGTATACATTAATAATATTTAACACTGCGATGTTCTCTTAGATGATATTTTCGGCGCACTGCGTTTTCAAAAATTGCAAAAAAGTTCGGAACTGCAAATTCAAATTTCACGCGCTTCGATTCGGGCGTTGCCAGTTCGGGAAAAGCAACATAGTGGTTTTAGAATTCTTCGAATTCATCCCATTGTTGTCGGTGATGATTATATGATGTAGATAATATTTTTATGGAAGGAAATAGATTGAAGGTAATAAATTTTAACTTAAAACTAACACTCTTCTTTTCTGATAGAAGTTTTAATCGCTGATAATGGTGTTAAACTTGAAAGTTCATTTCAAATGTAATCAAAGTAGGCTTGTGTGAAATTATTCTCGCTTTTCTGTATTATGTTTTGTAAATATTGTAAAATTTAAATTTATTCATATTCGTTTCATTTCTAAAAGTTAGAAAAGACTACTCTTCCTGGCAATGGAAATAAATGGAGATAAGCACGAGAGGCGATTAGTTTGAATTAGACTTTTTCAACTTGTAACTGTGTTTTTAATATGGCAGAAAATACGATATTATAATATTACGTAACTATTTCCAATCGCGAGAAAGTATGTGTTGTTGTAGTACCTCTTTGTTTTTATATGCTTTACTTATAAAGGTCTCATAAACTTTCTCAAGGTCATTAGCAATCAAATTATTGACTCTTTAGGTATGTTATACCCCAAATGTGCAAAATTTTTAAATATTGTTTAATAACGTTTTTCTTTACCTATTGAATAAATATGACTTTACTTAAAACACATACATTTTAAAAAATTGAAAATGTATTTTGGGAGATAACTGATTTTTTATTAGAAATAGGTCCTGAGCTGTGATGTCATTTAGAACTACTATCTTCTAATGCTTTAATTTTGTTTCCTCATGATAACAGATGAATTGAACCTGTGCCTGAACCAAAAAAATATTTGTACTATTATTATTTTCATATTTTTAATACTTTTGTCAGAAAATTTATAAAACAATTCTTCATGAAATAATTGGTTATTAAAAAAATCTATAACATCCGGATCCAGGGCAAAAAATCCTCCCCATTCTCTGGTAGAAGAACAAAAGAACTTACCAGGTGAGCTAAAACCTGGCGAAGTTAAATTGTTTTTCCTATTTATCAATTCTGTAATAAATATATAGACCCAAAGGTACAGTTCTTAACAAAACCTGTGAATTTTCCTGCAGCACTATTTCACTGTTAAACAGTAGTTTGATAGACACATTAACATGTTTCACACTCACTTATCTTAAAATGTATTATTTACATGTGTATATTCTGACGAAGCCCCCCCTCCCCCTACTGCAACAATAACTCCCTGCAATCGCCTGTTGGGGTGGTTCGCAGATATCATGCTCTTGCGAGCTATTAATATCACGGGGTAGTGGGATCTTTTGAGGTGTTGAGAACCAATGCAATAACAAAAACACATAAATCAATTAAACAGGGTTTAATGATCTCAAAGACCCACTTCGTCACTTAGAAAATCACACCAAATAAAAAAAAAGAGACGCTTTTTAATGACCTAAAATTTACTCAGAAAATAATCACCCTAATAACCACAGGGAATACCCTTTGTAACTCAGCTCAACTAAATCTGTTACTATTCCTATTTACATTAAACGTGAACCAAAAATGTACAATTTATCATTCCCCTCACACAATGTTACGTACAAAATTGTGTCCACCACTCTCTTTACACAACTTTCGCTGTGGCTGTGAATAACAAGAATGAATGTGGCCTATTCACAATTTCTTTGTATGCAATAGTGCTTCAAAATGGCTAGTACTTCAAATTGAATTCTGTTGCCTCCCGTGGGTCCCTCGCATCCCAGCCTCCACATCTCTCTATCTGTGTAGTCTTCATTACTTAATCCTCTCTTGACCATTGACTCATCCCCTCCCTCTCCCCATGTAAGTGTAGATTTTCATTCTCCTCGGTGTGTAGCTGGTTGCCATTTCCACAATATTTTCGGCCACCGCGCTTCGTTCATTCTTTGCATGTTCCCATACCATTTTAGTCTGTTCACTTCTATGGTGTCAATTATATTAAAACTCACTTCCGCTCTTCGTTGAATTTCTTTGTTCTTAACTTTATCCATTAAAGACAGTCTGCAACTTCGGCGCCAGAAATCCATTTCCATTGCCTTCAATTTCTTTTCGGTCTTTTTTATTACTTCCCATACCTCAGATCCATCCTACTACAGTCTTACATAATACTTCCATGGATTACATAGATAACTATTTTTCTGTGAAATATTTGTGCTATTTTAAGCAATATTTTTCTTTTTACAACCTATAATCTGAGAGTTTGTGATTAGAATGGTGGAAATTTAATGCCTTCCAGTTCATTTTGTTGCTTTAATGTGGGGAAAAAAATGTTTTTGTCGTTTTAACACTTTCATTTTTTTAAGCAAAAAAAATAAATATTTTCTGGTTTTGATCACCTAAAAGTCCGAGACCTAGTCAAGACGATTTCCCGTTAAGTCGGGTGCCACGAGTCGCTCGCATACGTCGCCTTGTCACGCACAGCCGTTGTCCTAATAATACAACATGGTCTCATGTGTGTAAAGCCAAGCTGGTTTAAAGAATCCTTGCGATTGCAGTCGATCGTAATCCGATATTGTCGTTTAAAGGTGTTTTGTTGTAATTCAATATGGCATATGTAAACGCACAAGTTGCTGCCGTTCCCGTTCCCCCAAACGCGGGGACACCGGACCCCTTCAATTTCAATAAGTCAAGTACCCTGAATAGCATGATGAAAGAGATCTGAAAGATTTATTTCGGTCCTGGACTCTTTTCCAAAACTGTAATCTACTTCCTACGCTACACGATAACCGAGCAGTTGGAGTACATTTATACGGATGACAACAAACATGCCCGCAGCCTTCTTTGACAACGTGAAAACCGAGTCTTATAAGTACTTTACGGCAAAAGAAATATTTTTGAAGACTGAATATCAATACGCCAGTGCAGAAGCCCAGCGAGAGTGCATTTCGTTCATAGTATTGCTGCACTCCCTCACTGACAGATTAGTCTCTAGCACATTGTCAACGGGAATCATCCCTGAGCAATTAAACAAGTGTTGAGATAGCCCCTTGTTTTGCTTCCGGACATAAATGTAGCTTCACTAGGCAAACGTTTTGTTGAACTCTCCTTTTGCTTGCAGTGGTAGGAGTAGAGCTGGGGGTGAGTTACTATTTTGTTAGCAATTACAAAACAATTAAATCTGCAATTCGTTTACCATTGAAAATACGCTTCCTATAATTCGTTAAGCAAAATGTCTAGTTTCTACAAATGTTCATCTCTCGCTTTTTTAAATTTTATTATTTATTTTATTTTTTAACTTTTATTGATCTTTCAACTGTTTATAATGAAAATGTTGAGAAGGCATTCCCGAACTCAAGAAAAGGTGCGCAGATGATATTCTCCCCCATACGTCACATACAGTTTTTGTACTGTTTTCTGACTAAATAAATCAAATCAAACCTGGAACCGAAGCGTAATCGCCGTGTATGACGGATGAACGTCGGAAGGGAGGCAGAAAAAGACTGACCTCATCCTGGAAGAAGCAATTATAATACTGCTCCAGGCGGAAATTCAAAACAAAAAACAAAAATGATGAATAGAAACCGAACCTGAAATTGTGGTGATATGCAAGCTGAACATCAAGGAGTCCAGACCCCAAGACACGCCAGAGGTCCCTGTCATGAAGCCGGAGCGAGGCAATACAAAGAAGAAATTCAGATGTCCAGACATACTCGCAGTGTCGGCAGTGTAAGAAATTCGGGTATTGGCGGAGGAAGCTCAGATTGAAAAGTGTACACCAAGTGGAAAGCGTGGCTTCGCAAAACTGACGATGTTAGAGTTTCATTGGTAATTTCGAAACTAGAAGAAACATTTCTTCGTCGAAAATTCCATCAATGAACGCTACAGAGTTTACTACCGACGATATAACGAGAGCCATGAGTAAAAACCAGCAACTGGAAAACCCCTGGGCGTGACAAAATTCATAATTTCTGACTGAAACGCTTCCCGCTGTCCACAAACCATTAGCTAAATGTTACACCAAAGCCCTTGAAAATCGTACTTGAATTCCTGATTTTCTTTTGGAAGGGAAGAAGGGGTTTATGTTACAACCACAAAATCATCGACCAATCACCTGCCTCTCGACTGTACAAGCTTTTCACATCGCTATTCAACAAGAATATATGACACTGAAACTGAAAAAATAATGTCGAGATTTTGATATGCATGTTTTAGGGGCTCAAGATACCGAAAAACAACTTTTTATTCGAAGCTCCTGCCCTTCCGTCTCAAAACGACTAGCCTAAATCGTAAGAAGTATTTTCACCAAATGGCATATTTCAAAAATTGATCAGGCTTATGTCGTGGTCCCTCAAATGTGAAACATCTTTTATTTTTTGGTGCCACCTTACACGAAGCTCAGAGAACATTTTCGAAACGTTCCAAAAAAAGACACATTTTTTTCCTTTAAATTTTATTGCTACATTTTCTTTTAAACCTCTGATTTTTCGAAAAGTGCAAACATTTTAAATTTTAGTTCATGCAATCTCTTGCACAATATGAGATGTTTATATAATTTTATGTATAGATATTTCAAAGTATTTAGTGTTTTCGCGTGATTTTCAGTTGTAACGTTCGATTTTTTTCAAAGAATGGCAGAAATCTTGGTATGATTGGTTCAGTGTTACGTAGCAGTTACTCTGTAAAATGAGAAAGTGTGTGTCCTTGTCTAACCACGAATTTGTTTGAAATGAGTATCCACTCACTATATAAAACTTGTCAGATTATTGAATTATTATCGTTAAAATTATATATATATATATATATATATATATATAATATAATATTTTTTATGTTTTAGGTGCGATGCTCCCATGAACTGTGCAGAAGAACAAAGGTTCCATCTCTGGGATTTTCGGAAGTGGTAGAAGCCAGTTTCGCTACAGGCCCTAGCTTCATTGAGAGATATTCAAGACCTGCCAAAATACTAGTCAATATATTTCTGTGTATCACACAGTTAGGATTTTGCTGTGTGTATTTTGTCTTTGTAGCTGTGAATTTACAATATGTAAGATTATTATTTTAACTTACTGACTTCCTCGTAGCATTAATTACTCTTATCTTTTCTACTTCTTTTTCTTGGTACTAATTGTCAGTTATAGAGCAAACGTTTGATTGTGAAAGTTTTAGAAAGAAATCTTGCACTCCACATTGCCACGGTACTGGTACCATGAGCCGTTATAATTCGCGTATTTATCTTACAGAAGAATTCTGATGATACAAGTTTAGATTTCGGTTGTCCATTACGATAATTTATATTTTTTCGGTCTCTCTTAAATTTTCGACAACTATAATTAAATATTACCAAAATTTCATCATGTCATTTATTTCATAATTTTATTCAAAGGAAGCATTTTGTTAAGTTCATAAAATAGAGACACTTACTTTAATTAATTCTGATAGGTTTTATCTGGGCTTCTATATAATAATAAAGATAATAATAATATCTTCGACGTACTAGGCATGTCAATCTATTAACGGCCTTTATTTGTATGAAAATTATAAACACCCTCTTCTTCCGCTTATTTTTTTTCATTAGTCTACTATTTTATATGACGCCCGTATTTTCACTATCACGAAAAAATATTGTGTGGGTACGATAGATCTTCCGTACGGACTCGGGAATTCTTCCTGTCATCCTCTGAAATAAATATACTTACAAGATGTCGATCAAATACGTTTATGCGGTGGTGTATGCAATGCATGGGATAAAAACGTGCAGTGCTGTAAATACATTCGTACAATATTCTCCTCATTACGTTTTCATCACATTAGCAGTAATAATATAGAAGAAGAAATTCAGAATTAATATAATTATAAACAAAGGTTTTCATATTCTAGTAAATAAACCCTCCCCTTTTTTGCATGCTTTGGCCACATTATTTTCCCAATTGCAAATTTATCTACCCTAAAAATAAAAAATAAAAAAAAACAACTCGATCTAAACTGAAATGCACACAGATGTGCATTTGTTTCCAACTCAAGTTGCTAGTTTCACTTTTTATTCACTATTGCAGCCCGATTGTGTTTTAGTGTATTCATTTATAGAAAATTTCCTTTGTCTGCACCACTCCATATGATAACGAATGCAGATTATCCCACAAAGTTTTCACACGCACGGTTCATTTTGGTTCGTGGACGGTCTTTGTTTTGCAAAGTAAAAATTGGAAACCATTAACCGCCAGCTTGGTGACTACATGCCTCATCTCTTAGTTTGTCGTTGTCCATTTTCTGTTTGTCATTGCTTCTGTGGTGTTGAATTCCGGTCAGATCTGTCTCCTTTTTTCCTCTGTTTTTCTGAAAATACATAGTGACATTGTGTGAGTAAGGAGAAATACAAGCCTTAAATCATCTGTCAGCAGGGTTTCTCTTGCCAGCTTGTAAACTAATCTTGATTTAGTTGTTTTGGAAACTTCTAATATTCTTTTTAAAAATGTGGCTTTTACTTTTTCGTGGGCTTCCGCCAAATGATCTCTATTCCGTAGGATAGTGTAGGGCTAATTTTGCTTAGAATAATTTTATTGCTGTGTTAAGGCTCAGTTGACTAAAAAGCTTTATATCATTTATTGTAGTGATTGCTTGAGCTGCCCTCTCTTCTACATGTTTTGTAAAGTTTCTTCCTGAAGGTTGTGGAATGATCCCTAGGTATTAGAATTCGTTGACTACTTTTACTTAGGAGCCATGTATTTTTATTTCTGCCCCTGCTGGTGTCTTTTCTTCTTTTCTGAAAACCATCATAACTATTGTACCTGTGTTAATTTTGAAACTGTGCCGCATACACCATTCAGTCATGTCTGATATTGCTTCTTGTAGCGTGTCTAAATATCTTAACGCCACCACAATGTCGTCGGCGTATGCATAGATTTCGATATTTCTCTCCTCTCTTTTGGCCATAGCAATAATATCAGCGGCTGCTAATATGAAGAGTGGGGACTGAGAGGGTCTCCTTGTATTACGCCATTTATCTGTTTAAGAGGTGCGGATGTAAGACCATCACTTATTTGGATGTTGTGCCGCAGAATTTCTCTAATTAGTCTTACCCATTCAGAGGTTTTTCCCCTGTGTTTCTTCTATTTTTTGAAGAATCCAGTCTCTTGTGAGGTTGAATGCCTTTGTAAAACCCACGACTATATATAGTTCGCTGACCTTTTTCTGTGTTGCTACTTTGATGTCCTTCACTAGCAGGCTTACTGCTGATTGAGTAGATCTACGTTTTTGAAATCCAAATTGGGCTTCTGGGAGAGTGTTTTAGTATTATCGGTAATTTTTCTTGCAACTAGTTTAGAGAGACGTTTGAAGGGATTGCATTCCAAGGCAATGCCACTGTAAACGTTGAGTTCTTCTAAGTTTCCTTTCCCTTTGTACAAGACTTTCATTCTGGAGTTTCTCCATTTCTCTGCGATGCTGCCTGTTTGTATGCATTAGTTCAAAATGTTTGCCCGGGTTTCAGCCACAATTTTGCCTGTTCTTATATCTGAAGTCGTAGGCTTCCGCGGCCAGAATCATGTGCGTGATCTGGGCTGTCGGGGTGACGCCGCGTCACCCGGACAGCCCAGATCACGCACTGATTCTTTTATCTGTTCGTTTGAGATATTTTCTGGGGCTACGGACTTCTTGGCGTTAATTTCCTTACTCCTTCGTATACCTCTTTCTCAGAAACATTTGTTCAGGGTTCTATTTCTGCTTCCGCTGCTTCAGTTTGTTGTGTGGGATGTCTCTGGGGGCTCCCTGTCTTGCTAAGACGCTTCTAAAGTAGTCTTCCCATACATTCATGGCAATGTACGCATGTTTTGGTATATTCATAGGTTGTAGTTTCTTGAAGGGGTCTTGCGCTTCTTCTTCCATTTTTTTCTCCCTCTTTTTTGAAGTACTCAATTTTCTTTTCTTTCACACATGCTTTGTATTCTTTCCTTGTTGATGCATACATTTCGAAGTTTTGCCGCGAATTGCTGGTTCTTACATTCCATAGTTCAGTTAACGCCCTTCCCGTTTTTGGAAGCATTGCTTGTCGAACCATTTTTTCGCTGCTCTGTTCATTGGTTTATTCGTAACGGACGTTTGTTGCAGGTGGTGTTCATTGCTTTCCAGTGCTTCATTGATGATTTCTTGATGTAAATATTCAACTTTTTGAAGTTCTTCAGTTCTTTCTTTCAGAGCCTTTAATTCAATTTTGTGGGGCATCTTCCTTTGTTACCTGTTCCACGTTTTCCAATTTGAAAGTGACTTCATTTTCTGATAGGCGCACCATCTGTTTTCCAGAGTGGAATCGCTGTTTGCCCCACAATCCCTCTGGTGAGCATCAAGTCAATAGCACTCTTGCCGTTTGGGGCAATGTACATGAGAATATCAGACTTGTTCATTGAACAAAATCCTTTCTGCCTTAACATTTCTAGTACTAATTTTGCCTTGTGGTTGTCTAAATCAATTCTGCAGTTTAAATCTCCACCTATATTAATAGTTGGTTATTATTAACTTCTCTCAGCAGTGCTGTTAGTTCTTATATGATGTCTAAAGCTTCCTTCTCCGGGGAAAAGTAGGGGCTTATGATGCTTACTAGCTTGGTTTCACCTAACAGTAGGTTTTCTGTGGTTTTGAATCTTACAATTGGTGCGTATCTAATGACAATAGTGAAGTCCTACGCCCACCTCGGGGGGGGGGGGTAAAATTAAAATCTCAAAGGAAACCTCCATTTTTTATTAAAGATTTAGATTTAACGTATAGGTTTCTTCAATTTTGATTAGTGCTAAAAGTAGTTCAAAACATTTCAACGCAATCACAAATAAAAAAAACAGTGTACATTTAGATTATTACAACCACCATTCTTTAAAAAGTTAAAATTGTTTGCAGTTAAAGAATTTATATTATGGGAAAAACTAGTTTTCAAAATTCCATCTCGTGACGAGTCAAGTGAAGTTTTTTCAAAAAAGTTAGAATCGTCCATACTTATTAATGCTGCAAATAAGTTGGGCAGTGACAATGATGAATAACATGCACTGCTGGTCTTAGTCACCCTAACGTATCACCTAATACGAGTAATAAAGAAATTGACTGATTAGGTTCGTCTTGTTTCGTCTGCTGTCTTCAGTCGTTTACCGTCTTCTCCTCTCTTCATGAAACAAAAATAAAATTTGGTGCTGGAGAATTTAAATTCTTCAATCTAAAATTTGTAGAGAATTATTCTGTCTTACTTGAGGATGTAATTTAGTGACTACTGTGAATTAATGTTTTGGCTACTCTACATCCTTTTGTGCTATACTTCAGAGAAATCAATTCACCATTGCCAGTGTAAACTCATAACACTTCTCAAGTAAGTTTATGACTGTGCTAACAGTAGGGATGTGACATGGATATTGATGTTTTCAAAACATCGATTTTTTTGTAGAAACATCGTTGTATTATCACCGATGTTTTATTAATATCAATGTTTTGTGATGGATTTTCTTTTCCAATATTCTGAATGAAAAATTCCCATAATCACAATACTTAAAAGTTAAAATGTGAAATAACTGATAACAACACTGTTATTCATTTGGTGGAACCAAAGGAATGATTGTTGCACTACCTACAACAACCAAACTCTCTCGCCCGAAATGATCCTCAATGCCATTGTATTTCCTCTTCATATTCATTTGGCACATTGAGATATGGCCAACAAGTACGCTGTGGGCGTGGAGTCGGCACCTTCTTATCAGACCCTTATTCGGCAAATTGATAAACACGAACACTGTCAAATTATATTTTATTGCACACGAATTTAATGTTAGAGAATGCTAATCGAGACTAAAAAATCTATGTATTTTCGTCAATGTATTTTAACATCAATGTTTTAATTTTGAACATCGATGTCACATCACTAGTTAAGATATATTTTTGTGTTGGGGTCAGTGCCTAGGATAACAAAACATTGTGAATTTATGGTTTCAAAAATTTGTCTTTTGCGCAAAGGGAGCATTATTTCAAAAAATTTGAAAATTAATAAAATCTCAAAAAATATTTAGGAAAAATGAAAAATTTTTGTTTGTATGTTTTCTTATACTCTTCACAGAAAGAAAGTTTAAAAATTTGGGACTTCAAGGTCAAATTTTCCTTAAATGTGTGCAATTTGACATGTGTACGCGTGTGCGCATGCACACGTGTGTGCATGCATGTTTGTGCCTTCTAGTTTCAGAAGTAAACTTAACTTGGAGAAAGCAAATGAAAAGTAATTGTGAAACTGTTATGAACTGTATGTTCAAAAATTGTCTTACAATTTTTTTTCTCTTCTACAGGTCTTATCTCACTATTGTTCTCTAAACCTCGATACATACCAGTATTTACTAATGTTATTAGTACCAATGGTTCTACTAAACTGGGTGAAGAATCTCAAGTATTTAACACCAGTATCTTTATTTGCTGCTCTCGTCACTGTTATTGGCCTTGGTATTACCTTCTTCTATATGCTTCAAGATCTTCCAAGAACATCATCAGTGAGAAAATTCGCACCATGGAAACAACTACCCCTCTTCTTTGGAACTGTGATTTATGCATTTGAGGGTATTGGTGTGGTAAGACAGTGGAATAAATAATAAAAGTTTTAAATGTAGTCCCGTCCCCTCTCTCCTCGCTAAGCTCTGCCACACCCTTTGTTTGTACCCTAAGAGAAACTGTGTTTTTAGGTTCTTCCGTTGGAAAATAATATGAAAAATCCTCAAGATTTTGGAGGCTGGACAGGAGTTTTGAATACAGGCATGGCAATTGTTGCTGTACTTTACACATCAGTGGGCTTTTTTGGTTATCTTAAGTATGGAGAAAAAGTGAAATTGGGTAGCATTACATTGAATCTTCCAGAAAATGATTTGTAAGTTACTTGAGTGAGAAGTTTGATTGCAGTATTTTACCTCATTTACCCAGTCACGTATGATTTTGCATGTATTGTTTAGATTGGCGCAGTCAGTCAGACTGATGATGGCAGTGGCCATTTTTCTCTCATATGGACTTCAATTTTATGTTCCCATGGGCATAATTTGGCCAATTGTTCAACCATACCTGCAATCCGAACGTGCTAAATTTTTGGGAGAATATATTTTGAGAACTGTCTTGGTTACATTTACACGTAAGTAATATATGAAATTTTTGTACATAAACTGAACGTGTTCTTTCAACTTAATGTTTTTATCGATTGCCAACATACTACTTTCTCGTATCAAGAGCTTATTATTACTCTCCGTTATAAACAGCATGTACTAAGTGTAGAGAAATGTAGATTATGCTGGGGAAAATCGTGGCCGATATTTTCACGCAAATACTCATGATGAATGAATTTGAATACTCATGAAAAATAAATTGCTATTAAAAAGCTCCAAATTTTCCCTCTAGAATTCCCATTTATAGGGGCTTTCCCCTTCTGTATTCTCAATGACTCATTTCAATTGAATAACCATTAGCAATAGTTATCCAAGCACCAAAACTGCAATATTGAGATAATTACTTCCGGACATGTCTATTTTCATTTAGGAAAATTCCCCAGGCAATGTACTACCTACTTAGCTGACTCTTCGTGAATGAGGGGTTAGCTTACTGACCTCTCGACCCCCAGTGCGCGGATTCAATCCCGTCCGAGGTTCTCGATTTTCGAAGGGCGGCCATGGTACGCTTGTGGCTTGTAAAAGAATCCAGCAGATGCCCGGCAAAATTATATCCCGCGCTAACGGAATCTCACATTTCCCCCATCTAGACAGTTCGGATATAGTTAATGAGACCGACATCTGGCGGGGAAAGTGAGAGGGGGCCCCATGTGCGTTCATAATGTGCGCCTGCTCGATGAAGATCCCCAGACCCTTAGGCTTCCAAGGAATCCTGCGTCGAAAACTCTGGTGCGCAACACTGCCCAAGGGCAGTCTCCACACAAGCAATCCCATACACTAAATAAAATAATTTTATCAGTAGTTAAAATCCCATACACTAAATAAAATAATCTTATAAGTAGTTATCAGTAGTTAAACCCAGCGCCAATTCTCTATTTTGTGTTTCCAGTTTAGCAAGGGTGACATGAGCATTTTACTCTTTGCAACACTATTGTATGTTTCGTTTTTGTAAGCACTGTGAACGTTGCCTGTAGGAAAAGAAATTCCGTTGAAAATCTAATGGAGAAAAGCGATTTGGTTGGATGCTCTAAAATGAAGAAACAGGTCGCTAAAAGTTAAATTGACACCACAGAAAACAAAATTAACTGCATGCAAACATGCGAAATAATGCTGAAAAGGGTAGATCTATTGAGGATAAACATAAAAACCGACGTAAAACCATAATGATTATGACTACGAATATCACTGTGGACATCCAAAGGAAACTGCAGAGAAGGCCTGGTAACTTAAACTTATATGGACTCTTTTTATCACCATGGCCTAAAGGGAAATCCGTATCAAGAGCTTGAAAACATCAAATTTATGTTGCACTTCATTCCCTGTTTTGCCATACAATTTTATCTCTCTCTCTATGCAGATGGTAAAGTTGTCGATGTTGAATGATTTAATGGTATAAGAGATTTCAAAGATGGAAATGATGATGAGAAATAAATAAGTGTATAAAATAACCTCTCTTGAATTGTAATTATCCTAAAATAAATAATACCGATTGTATGATTGTTACATGTTTGTTATAATACTACCAACATTAAAATTTTCAAAATTTACTGGGTGATCCATTGTTGCCAATCACAGTACAGTATTTTTACTTTCTCGCAGTTATTTCATACAAAGAAAAAGTAGTATTGTCATCTTGCTCCGAAACACGGAGAATTTTTAGTAGAAAAATTGCATTGCCGGACCCTGGTAACAAAACAGTGAATACATCATGATTCTACATATAGAAAATTACTTCCTCTATGTGATGAAGCCAGAATCCATGTTTTATGGGTCCTTGATGCAGAAAAACATCTTTATGTCCGTCCGTGGTTAACGCTAGCACCTAAACTGTTCAGCCGATATTTTTTTTCAAAATTGATAATTTCTGATCGATTAAAACGAATCCTTGGGTTTGGGAGTTTCTACTAGATATTCAGATTTTTGTTAGTAAATAATGATGATGATGATAATTATGATAATAATGATGATGATAATAATAATGATGATGATAATGATAATAATAATTAATTAATTAGTTCATGATAAGTCTAATTTAAAGAGAAATGCGTACGCAATTTGTATGAGGAGTTTCTCACATTGAAGGCAGCAATGAAAGCACGAGAGGAAGGAATTGATAGAAAAGGGAATGCTCTCACAGCATTCATGAGATTAAAATTATTTATTTGAAGTTAGGGATGTATTAAAAGTAATCATAAATATATCAGATTGAACATTACGATATTTTACTCAAATTTAGAGAAATTATATTTTGTGACTCAGCAAGTTAGATACCAGGAGAAGCTTGTTTAAGTCAGTGAAATGTTAATAAGTACTAATAATTATTTCAAAGAGGTTTTGAAGGAGCCAAGATTGCGTTCGTATTTTTGAATTACCCCTAAAAAACTAGAAATGGGGGGAATGTCGTCAGCATTCGAGCAAAAACACATCGAGTCAAGAGTTTAAGCCTCGAGAGAAATGGAAAACATTGGAAGCTAATATATTTCGTAATGATAATACTTGTATTTCGTAGTAGTAGTTCTAATAATAATAATAATAATAATAATAATAATAATAATAATAATAATAATTATTATTATTATTATTATTATTATTATTATTATTATTATTATTATTATATTATTATAATTATAATAATAATTATTATTATATTATTATAATAACAACAATAACAACAACATTAATAATATGAGAATGTATTATAAATCTATTCGTCATTAAATTAAGTAAGAAAGTATTAAAAACATGGATATGATCAATTCAATTTTAGGAGAGGGTTTTTCAACTTAAACCCCAAACTAGAAAAGTAGAAATTATGACAATTTAGGAAATGTTTACCTATTAGAATATTCCCAAGACTTGAAAAACTCGACACATCTCCCTCCCGTAAGCCATCATGTATACCACATTTATTTATTATATTTATCAAGAGACGGTAAAAATATTATGTTGCTCCCATCTTTGGCGAACCCTGTTTTCTCGAAAGTTGCAAAATGTGAACATTTTAAAACTGCAAAATTGAAAATAGAGCTTTTTCCTTTAGACAAATTGTTATAAAAAATCATCTCTCGAAAAAAGTTGTACAATATTTTGAAAGAACGAATAGAATTCACGTAATATTTGTCTGAAATTTATGCAATTTCTAAAAAAAATCTCAAGAGTTGTTCTTTGAAGATTCTCGTCGTATGTATCAAAGGACAATATATATAGTGCTAGTCTCATTTTTGCCAAACTCTCCTTATTTTTTAAAATGATAAAAAGTTAACATTTCAAAAATACAAAATTGAAGAGAGCGATTCTGCCTCAGTCTGTTCTAAAAACTTAGCTCTTTAAAAAAAGGTCATGTGCAGTTTTTTGAAAAAACGAGATTTCGTGAAATTTATTCAAATTCTAAAAATAATATTTTCTCAAAAATGTCTCAACTTTTTCATTAAATTTGTCCACGTATGCAAGAATGGACGGTAAAAAATATGGTGCTTGTCCTATTTTCGGTAAACTTTCTTTATTTTCGAAAACTTCAAAAATTGCATGTTGGAAATATTGGGTTGAGACAGGTACGCTTTTAACTATTGGTCCGAGTTCAAACCTCACACGTTTCTCGTCGTTGCGCAGTGGCATGGCCGACTGAGTTAAGTCGAGGACCTGATTTCGGGTCTCGGTGCAGAAAATAATTTTTGCTGGTTGAAAACACTTTTGCGTGTTTATGTAGTATAATATAGCGACGCAGTTGGAATTAATACGAGGAAGTATGTGCTGTTGCAGCTCCATTAATTTAAATTAAGCAATAATGATCCCAGCGATATTTTTACAGATATGTCGCCAAAGACATCAGTTTTGTGTAGTACAAATGTATTATGTGAAAGAACTTACAAAAATAATTCGTTTTCGCCAGTTTTGAGAAAGATAGCTATCACACAAATTTTTCAATGAAAAAGTATACTGAATGTTCATTAGCTCATTTCGCAGCTTTGGCGCTTGGCTGACTATTGCTTATCGTGGTCCAGCTGAACAACCAAAAAATTGAGACCGCCCGGACCCTGGGTAAAATAGTTATGTCACGAGTCTTCTAAATGAGTCTTTAAGAACGAAGTCAGATGGTATCAGGAGATATTTTCGTGTCGGATATTCTAGTGGAAGCAGAAGCTGCAAGCTCTAGTTTGATGCCTTCTAAATCTGTAACCACTTATGAGAAAGCTTATGATTTATTTTGTGATTGGTGAACGAAAAGGAATGTTCGAGGCTTTAACGAAGAGATTATGCTAGCATACTACTTTCAGTATATCTGTACCAAAATAATTGTAAAAATAAATTTAGTTTACATTTATTCCCAAAATTGTGTTTTGTGTCTACGTCGTTTTTATCCCAAGATTAACGAGCAATGATAAAATCTAAACCCGAAAGTCCGCTAAAATATTTTTATGGACATATTTTGAAAATATTTTTATGGATACATATATATATGTATATATATATGTATATATGTATATATATATATATGTATATATATATATATATGTATATATATATGTGTATATATATATATGTGTATATATATATATGTGTATATATATATATGTGTATATATATATGTATATGTATGTGTATATATACGGGGAATTAGCGAACTTAGAGGCTAACGTAGTCTTTGCACTGGTTTAGTCTCGACCATACCAATCATAAGGCAGTAATCAGTTATAAAACTTGTTCTGAATATTTCTATAACTTTGTTAACTTTGAAGTATTTGTTTTATTTGTGTGACTGAAGTCATAAGTGTGGTCTTGTTCTCGAGTATAATGGCTATTATTCACGTAGAAATGACGACGCTCATTCGTACGTCGCTCGTGTCGTGAACATCAACTCGTGAATAGCCAACATTATACTCTCGTTGAATATACTATTCTCTAATACTTCTTGTAGTCATAATCCACGTTGTCTGAGTCCCTGATACCAGGTGCGTCCAAAGAAAACAAAGCCTTGAGCGGTAGATTTACGGGAGTCTCTTTCAAACAAAACGTCTGCCCCCCTCCCCTGCTCACTTGTACTCTTCAGGTGCGGATTCATGGGGATAGAAATCAGGGAATTTCTCCTTGCCTAAAAAAAATAAGTTAATTTTAACTTTTCTCCCAATTTTCAAGCAAAATGTTTTAGGATAACCATTAAAATGAAAATCGTGAGCGTGAGCTGGGTTACGCTTGCGTTATTCTATATGAACTGTAATATCACATTTAACAGACATTGAATAGCCTTTTATGTATTACTTATGAATCACTTAAATCGAAGAAACACATTTATGTGAGATTCTTAAATCAAATAGTAAAAACTAATAACTTTTCTGCTACTTTCAGCATTACTCTCACTCTAATATTGTGTTCATAATCTGTTTAAATTTAGTCAAATATTTTTCAACAGAGCGGTAATGCGCTGAACACGCGGCTTCCCATTTTGAAACAATTTATGCTCATGCCAATTTTTCGTCGTCCTTCATCTTTATTGATTAATCTTTATATTATGTAGGCTACTGAATAGTTGAGTTTATAATACTATTTGAATACCACATCGGAAAAAATATAATTTATATTTTTCCACTTTCGTTCTGGACAGTGTGGTTAAAATTTTTAAGGATAGTACAGAATATCAGTTTCTACACGGTTGTCACTGGCCTAACTCGTATTTTTTGTATTTTACTATTTAATGGTATTACCATCAAAAACAAAATGTCTGGAAAATCCAATGCAATAAACCTAATACTTCTCAAGAAATCTAAAAGAGAAAAAGGATTTCTTGAGAACAAATATTTATCAAAAATCTTTATAACAGCGATCCAATTTAATTTTCGATAAATTATTTTATCATTATAGGGAATAAAAATATCATATTACGACCATTAACAAAAAAATGTTTGACGAACGAATAAAAAAAAAGCGTACTGAAGACGTCTTCAACAATGGCCATTACTCGTAAACAAAGTTAGTTTGCAGAAATCACATCAAAGGATGATTTCCTCTCCTTGTGGTGATTTCACGTGAACGTGATGAGCTTGAATCCCGCGGAAGTTGAACTTACGAACTGTCTCATCCAAAGCTTTGGTAATTTTCTTCAAGGAAGCCAAGATATACATCTTTTTTTTAATTTCGAGGGAAAGTTGCACATTGACATACTAATTGGACTTTGCAAAAATCCTCACTCGTCTGTAATCTTCCAGACCAGTGGCGGCTGGCTCCTTTAATTAATGGGGGGACTGATTGCAAATATAGAAAACGAATTGAGATATGTTCAGTACCGGTGTAGGTCTACCGTGACCATTTACATCGGACTTCTTGAAGCATTATGCTTCTAAATTTCACAGTTTTTATATATTGAACAGAATTACTATTCGTATCCATTCTAAACACGAACTAGTGGTGAGCATTACTTTCTCGCCCGTACTTTCACGTAAAATTAGGCGAATAGTACTCAAATTTTCGAAAAATGGTTCATGATCTGATTTCAAATTCCATCTTTAAGGAACAGATTTCAGTAAGGGAAAAAAGCTCAATCAATATGTTAGTTTTAGAAAGACTCAGAAAAAATTGAACTTTTGCAATTTTCGAAAATTCAGGCTTTAAAGCGAAAATGAGACCAGGGCCATTCTCTTAACCGCCCTTCACACTATCCAAAAATAAAATTTAGTCAAAAATGATGAAGCCATTTTTTTTTAAGTTTTAATAATGTCCGAGTGGCTTCGTGCAAAGGGGCCGCGACGTCAACCAGATCGATAGGGTGTTATCAAAAATTGATGAAGAAAAGATTAAAGAAAACCGGCTGAATGGTTTAGTCGCTTGTTCACAGACGGACAGATACGTTTTGCCGTCATTCGATTTTTCGGTTTCAAGGGCCCACAAAGCAAGGATTTTGGCTACACCACGTGTTAGAGGATTTTTATTTCAAAATTAGCAACTGGGTTTATTCACATTTTAAGTACCAGGGCCCTGTAATAGGAATTTCTCTGCCGAAAATTCGCCAATATTTCGCGCAGCATTACATGACTTTCTCTCTACTCCGTAGCAAAAAAGTAAAATGCAAAATACAACACACAGCGCCTCAACTAGATCATACGTCCGCCAGAGCTTTAAAAAACAATTAAAAGTGGCGCAAAACTGTGGAAGAGGCTGCATTTCCTGCAGCCCTGGAGTCCCAATATTGAGACATACAAGCAGCGGGGGGAAGCGAAATCAACGATGTCCATACTTCGCTGCAAGCAGTAGGGACTAGCAGTCCCAGGGAGGGAAATGGAATCCCAGCAGAACACTGCCGAAGCTTTTCGCAAGTTAAACACACCAGCAGTGTGCTATATTGGTCATGTAATTGAATAAAATACTATTTTGCATATTTTATTTTAATATCAAAGAGAAATTAATAATTCTGACTAGGTCTGGCGGGGCTGCGGCCTCGCAACCCACCCCCACCAGCCGCCACTATTCCGGATTGCTGTAGAAACTCTTGAAAGCTACGATACAAATTTTCAGAGGTTTAACAAAATAATATGAACACCTGGCATATACATAGGCTTAGCATATTTCCATTATGGGAAAATAAGACATTTGTTATAAAAAAGAGGACACTTCATATAAAATATTGTATATATTATTTATTTTTCTTAGACAAAATATCATCTGAAAAAATAAATACTTATATCATTGTCATCACTTTCAATGTCGCCGAATTAGGCCAATTCATTATCAGTACGGTCTTTCTCACTTTTGTACTAGCAGTATTATTTAGTCGATAATGAAATCTCCCCCAACAATTAGAATTTTGCTTTGCTTTGGACCTTGCAACAAGCGCTTTGCACTTTTAAGTATGTCATTAAATAAGCCTTTTATTTTTGGCATCATGCTCAAAATATAAGCACCACAAGTATTAACTCCACCGGCCAGCAGAATAGTATTAACACAATACAGGACATAACCAGCACCAGCATACTATACGTTGTGCTAGCTAATTACAACATTGTCTCATTTCATGGTGTAAATGACATTTCAAGGGAAATATTTGATCTATGGATTTTGGCGGTTGTTAGGCGAGATAGTTGAAGTTAAATTCCGTTTATTTGTACAACATATCCTTCGCACATTATATGTCTATGTTGCATTTAAAAGGAATACCCTATGCCAATAAAAAAGAGGACGCATCGTCCTTTCTTCTAAAATTCTCCTGGACAGTTTTTCTACTTCAAAAAGAGGACATGTCTGGGGAAAAGATAACGTATGGTAACCCTACGTATACAAAATATTTATTTAAAATGTTTTGTGCCATCATTTGCTTTTACAACAGCTCCAATTCGGCGTGGAATAGATTTGTAGAAGGCCTGAATGGTTTTCAACGAAATTCAACTCCCATTCTTGTTTCAAAATATGTGTCAATTGCTTCAACGTTGTTGGAGCTGGAAATATGTCCCTCACTTTTTTCTCTAAAATGCCCCATAATGGTTAAATTATGTTGAGGTCTGGCGATTGCTCTGGCCATGGAAGATGTTTGACATTCTGATTCTCCGCAAACCACGCTTGAAACTTGTTGTGTGTATGTGTGTGTGTGTGTGTGTATGTATGTATGTATGTATGTATGTATGTATGTATGTATGTGTATGGGCACATTATCATCTTGAAATGTGGCAGTGTTTGGCAACAATATGCTAGTAGTTGTTAGTACTTCATTGTTGAAGATGTCGAGATATTTATTAGCAGTAATTCGGCTAGTAAAGGTAATGATAGGATCAGCCGAATACCGCAATATAACCGCCCCCAATCAAAACTCTCCCATGCTTGACTGTAGGAAGCAGGCAGGCCAGATCGTAGGCTTGTTTTAGGGTTCTCCAAGCATAAACCCGGCCGTCTGTAAGAAACAATGTAAACGATGATTCATTGGACCAGACCATAGACATTCTGCCATTCATCAAGTGCCCAGGTTTTATATTCGTGGCACCACTTCTTTCGCAGCTTTGTTTATTTATGCCAAAGGCAGTAGAAAACTGTGTGTGACGTGCAATGAGGAGAAGTTAATGTGAAGTTACATTTATGTCCAGAAGCAAAACAAGAGGCCATCTCAGCATTTGCTCGAGAATCAGGGAAACTGGACGAAAACCTGGTCGAGATGGGGGTCATTGACCCAGAAGCTGAAGTACAATAGATATAGTCTCAAATTGCATGGAAACAGTTGTGCAGCAGTTTGTGTGTGTGTGTGTGTGTATGTGTAAACAGTATTACTCTGTGTGTGTTGTGTTCTGCAGTCACTTTGCCGCGGTAGTTTTACTTTGGCCACAATCCTGTTTAATGTTTGTCGGTCTTGGTCTGTTAATTTCGGCTTTTGTCCACTATTTCTCTTCGCCGGATTTACTATGAGAACATAGTAATGTATATGTAACATGTATACATCAACGTGGAGACTTGCTCGTGAAACATCTGCTTTTGTCACAGATGCTCCCGCTAACCACGCGCCAACCATTATCATTCTGTGGAAATCTGAGAGATCACATATTTCACTTATCGCTTGTTCTCACCGTCGCAGACCAAAACCTAGTGTAACACACTGCATTGTAACCCCCAAAATGCTCCGTGCCAAAACATTCATTGCTTCATGTCAACTGTCAATGCAGCCGCGTCGCAGAGTTTACATGTCCGTAATGACATCAACATTCAAAAAGATTTACTTAACGGCATGGTGTTCATATATTTTGTCCAACTTCTGTATGTGCTGTTGTAGGACCACTAGTTTAAATTATTGCTTTCTCACATTCAATGAGTGAATCTCGGAGGAGGAATATTTATTAATGTTTGTGTGTGTGGTTTTTTTTTTTTTTTTTTTTTTTTTTTTTTTTCTTGTTGTTTTAGTGTGTTTGGCAATTGCTATTCCCAACCTGGGTGCTGTAATATCTCTGGTTGGAGCATTAAGCAGTTCAACATTAGCATTAATATTTCCTCCACTTATAGAGATCATTACCTTTTCTCATGACTTGGGCAGGTATAAGTGGATATTGTGGAAAGATATTGCAATTATGTGTTTCGGATTGTGTGGATTTGGTTTTGGAACATATGTTAGCCTTGAGAACATCCTAAGCCCCCAAGAATGAAATGGAAGTCTTACCTTCAATTTGAACTTAGAAATAAATGAAATTTCTATTGGATTTCATTGCTCCATGTTCTTTCACAAGTCATTGCACAATTCATTTTTAAGAATTGTTTGTTGACAATAAATGTATTTAATTTAAGTAAGTGAAGTGATGTATTATGAATTATTCAATATAATGTATGATAGTGCAAATGAAGGCAAAGCACAAAAATTGTTTGCCAATTAATCGTGAATGGCTGAGTAAAGTAGTTAAAGATGAAATTTCAATATGTAGCTAGCATAATTCGTAAAGTTCATCAACATAACAGAAAACAAAATGCTTAATGCCATTTTCAAAGAAATTTCACAATCCGCACTGTCTGTGTGACAATGTTCAGTTCAACATCTGCCTGAGATGAATGGTATTACAGAGAATGCCTGTCCTGCCTCTTACAGTGATTTGTTACACTTGTGAATGTTACATTTTTGAAAATAATATGTATTTTTGCCAGTTAAATATAAGTAGAAAATATTGTATAGTTTCAGTGTGAATGTAAAATGGAACAACTAGGCCTACTGCACATTGAGTGAAGTTTCAAGAAATATTACATGCAAGTTCTGGCATTTTTGTTAAATTTATTCATTTATTTTTAGATTTTGTGTACCTCGCTACCTAATTTAGTCATAGCGTTTTGCTCCTGCCATGCATTTGTTTAAATGATTAGCCATGAAGTGATTTAATCAGCATGCAACTGAGTACTTCCAAATGTATTTTTTTTATCAGTAATATAATAATTTTAAGCATTTAATGTATGGTTACCGACTAATAGATTTATGAATGTATTAAGAGTAATTTTTTTCTTATCTATTGAAGTGCTGGTTTGTATTATCATGATATGTATATTTCCATAATTTGTAAACCTGTGATAATTTAATTATAATGTTAAATGCTTGTATTAAGTTTTCAGATAAAATACTTCATTATGCCTTCTATAACATTTTGTGATATTCTAGGTGATTGTGGGAAATGAATTTTTCCTTCCTTGAAGGATAGAAAATTTTACTGTATGTATTTATAAAGGAATTCAAAGTACAGTGTTCAAATTTATTTTCAAATAAAATTATATATGTATCACGTTATTGCTATTATACATGTTGTTAGCAGGGGTCACATAAATTTCAAAGCAACATCATAATTCTATTTAGATGGCTTAAGTGCCATCCTTAAGATTGTGGCATTTGTAATTAGTCAAATGAATGATAACGTAAATTAATGGAAATTTATTAGAAGTTTTCTGAAGAAAACTAACATTATTATATTTTAATTTCACTAAGTAAGTGTTTCCTCATTGGTTCAAAATTATGTTGAAAACAAACCCTTTTAAAATAGTGTATTGCGATAAATATGCTGCAAGTTTCTAGCAAACTTACGTAAGGCGTTGATTCAAAATTAGTCTTTGAGTATTTATTGTGTGTTGTAAATTTTTGTAAAATTCTATTGTTGTGTAATATAATGTTGTATCATATGTAGTACTTCTCAAAGCAGAACATTGTATTTATTGATTTGTAATATTTGTGATGCTCCATTTATACGTGTTAGAATAACAAAATGATCATGGAACTTTGAAACATTCAGATGAATCATAAAATCTGACAATAATTTGTGCCAATAAAGTTAAAGAATGAAAAATAATTAAGAGTTTTGAACCATATAATGTTGTATGTTTCAAAGAAATGATTCAAAATACTGCCTCATTGAAAGTATTAGTTGGGCCAGATTTAAATATGGCAGGATATTTAATACATCAGAGCAGTAATTTCAGTTATAAAGTATATGTGTGCGTTAAATAAGAAATATAAGAATCATTGTGAAGAAAAGTAAATTGTATTGAGTCAAAGGAATAATTAGAATGGAATAACTGCTGGCAGTAAAGTACGTTATAGCTGTTGATGGTAGAAAATAAACACTATTTGTCAATATTCTGTGTTACAGATTTTCTTGTATCCTCTCTGATCTCTCTAAGATGTAAAAATTCATGCAAAGTTTGTATTTTCATAAAATATTTAAAAACTACACATAATTATATCTTCTTGCAATTTTTTTGCAGCTCCTAAGTCAGTCTCTCGATTGTGATGAAACTCTCTAGAAATGGTGTTTCATCAGTCTCAACTACAACATACTGCTAATGCTTGACTGGAACAACTTACCTAAGGGGGTTGTCCCTAAATTACGCAATGCTAAAAGAGGAGGTGAGGGGGATTGAGGCAGCATTACATAGGGGCAGGGGGTATTCAATTAATGTTATGTAACATTGATTTTTTTTGGTAACTTTGAAATACTTACTTTTTTGAGTTAATATACTAAAACATTGAAATATTATCTAAATAATTTGTTTGAAAATATAAAGAATTTTCAGTTATTAGAAGTTGTTACAATAAATGGAATTTGTTTGTCATCAATTTTTTATTGACTGTATAAGATTACAAAGAAAATACTTAAAACTGATCTGTAGTATTTTTCTACAATACAATCAAATAGGCACAGTAGACTCTCGCCCATACACCATCCACAATGGCAGTGTGTGCGTGGCTTATGATCAGAAATTTTCTCACTTATGTGCCCTTCCTTCACTCAAAACTTGCCCTCATTCTTACTGTTTGGTGTAGGCAGCATCTACAACTACATTCGACTTTAATTATATTACATTTTAATACACAACACAAATAAAATAATTGCAATTTTTTTTATCTTATAACTTATTTTCCCTTTTTGCATTTAAAGGGCGGAGTGTTGTTGCAGGTGTTACATAATTTTATAGAGGGGGGGTTCAATTATACATTACGGGGGGGAGGGGCTATTCAAAATACTCAAAATTTGAGTTGTGTAATTTATAGCTTTGGGACTGGCTGCAAAGGTGTAATTATATTTAGAAACCATCATACGTCGTACTTCAATGAATTATTTGGAAAATTTATTTTTATTTGACATTAGTTTGTAGTTTCAAAACTGGCATTTGATTTGATTTATTTTCATCAAAGAACAGTGAACTGTGTTTGACATACAAATATAATATGTGCATGTTTCCTTGAGCTCCAAGAATCTCTTTCCCACCCTTTTATTATTCACAGTTGTGTGACGAATAACAGTACCAACAAAGCGAGGTTAGCTCAGGAGACAATTTCGGAGGGTCACATAATTCTTGAATGCGAAGTGGTGGGGTGGTGGAAAGGAACTGGAGAAATTTAATATATGATGAGAAACAAATAAGAGCGTAGGCTTCCGCGGCCGGAGTCAGTATTTACTAGGCTGTCCGGGTGACGCCGCGTCCATGGCGAAGGTGCCGAGGTTTCGGTCGCCATTCTGCGACCTTCCTCTGGGCGTGATGCGCGGAGATGTGGGTCGCAGAATGGCGACCGAAACGTCGGCACCTTCGCCATGGATGCGGCGTCACCCGGACAGCCTAGTAAATACTGAGAAACAAATAGTTGTTTGACATTTATTTTCATTTGAAACACACAATGCAAGACATTAAAAACATTTTAAGTAGAAACATAATATACCCATTTAAAGATAATTTTAAGACTAGAAATTACGATTACAAAAAGATTTGTAAACAAAAAATCGTGTATATTAATTGTACACTAAATCTATTTTTCTTTTCTTTGATTTTGAAAGTTGCTCTATAACTAATTCATTAAAATTGGAAATAATTTTAATAAATTTCTCAAAGCTAACATTGAAAGAGCATAAGTCTCTCTTGTGACATTGTGTTTTGTAAGAATGTCTTTATTCTCTTTAAAGGTGACAAACTTCTCTCACTCTACTGTGGTTGTAAGTATTGTGGCAATTACTTTCAACAATCAAACAAAATTCATTGTGAAGATTACTCTTTATTAAAAAAAAATCAAACAGTGGTAAAGTACCCTCTGCATTTCTAAAGTCTCTGTTGCAATACCTGCAATTCTGACTTAACTTAAAGCATTAGTGGACTGTTCGTCACGCTTACCTCAGGTTTTTGTTGGAGAAACATTTTCTCATAATTCTATGAAACAGTTTGTGTCAAACAATGAACATATTGTAACGTTTATAGCTCAGTCGGGTCGCTGCTGCATTCCTATAATGAATGGATGGAAGAGAAGGGAGGTTATCCATTAAATCATTTCGTTAATTGGGCAAAAAATAATTTATTCCTGACAACATTAACTGCCAGGGAAGTTACACGTCGCAAGAGAGCGATATAGATTGCCTACCAACTTTACCCAATGAGCTCATGGTTCTAATAGCTAGGAAGAAACATCTTAACACTAACATTGGGGTTTTGTCTACAATAATTAAAAAAAAAACTGCCTGAGCGCGGCAACGCTGAAACTTTCACCGGAATATCCAGCGAAGGAACCCCGTGACGTAATAAGGGGAGAGAGTTCATCTTCGGTTAAATACCGGATTATCACCGCTGGTTGTCGGCGCCTCTGCAGGCCGGCTGAATGGCTGACCTCGTCTCGTGATTCACTTTCGCTCTGGCGAGGGCTGGCGACGTGTTGCGGCGGTTAGGTCACCGACTCGGTGCTTCTCAGCTGGCGGCATGGCTCGGAGTCAGCTCGAAGACACACGGGCGCCGGGCGGGCGTAATGCGGGATCAGAATGGGCCCGAGGCAGCACTATGCGGCGAACGCAAATTGACGCGTAGTCTGCGCGGGTCTTTGGTTCGGTTAAAAAAAACGCACTCTGTGGCAAAGTTGAGCCCTACGAGCCGAAATTAATAATGTTCCTCACTCCACCGAGTCTTATTTAAGAACCACGTCTTTTCTCCTACAATTTCTCCCTAATAATGTTTTTCTTACAATCCTCCCTACCGAAAACGTCTCAAGACCCGTAGCTTTGCCCCTTCCCTCACGGGGAGATGTCTCATAGGCCGAAACTATTTGCGTCGCAATTTTTTTTCACCCAGTCGGGACGCACTGTTCCTGGTATTTTCCAGGGCGGTCTCTAATACTAGAAGCATCTCTTGTAGCTGCCCGAACACGGCTTTGTTTTCGAAAACAATTCTTCGGCGCCGTGATCGGCAGCCGGTGACGGGCGAGCTATATATAATACCTCTGGGATTCCCGGAAGTGTTGTAGGGAGCTTCCTTGCGTGGGCGCGTGACGAATGGCCGGCAGGTGGGGTCTGTCTCCCGGCCAAGACGCGGGCGGTCATTGTTTCGCTAAGTGCGCGGGGGCTCCCCGAAAGGGGGGGGGGAGGTCGTTCCTGCGGATCTCCAGCCTGCCGAAGGGGTGTGACGAGCGAGCGCCGGGCGGGCGGCTTGTCGTAAATAAGTCTGCTGCGGACGGCACCCTCTTTGGCGAGCGGGCGGGGCAGCTGGCGACGGGGGGGGGTGGAGGTGGTGCGTTGAAAAGAACCCTTTGTGACAGCCCAGTTTTACTGCTACTTTCTTTCCGTGGAGAAAGCTATCTTAATATTAAATTAATATTATAAAATTTGGCTGCCTTACCCCTCATCTGCTTTTCTTCTCTTGTGATTAGTGACCTCAGTATTAAACCTCATGTCTGCATCAGATTTATCCCTTATCTATTGAATTTTATTGGAAATTTCTCGCCAAATTCGTGGATTTGCAACCAATCAATGTTTCTCTTTTGAATTTGAGCAAACGGAATGTCACCATGTGCCATCATTACCACCAACATTAGGAAGAGGCAATGTTGCGAACAACGGAATACAATAGGTATGTCGTACAATTAGTATGTACTCTCGTGAAAACATAAAGTTTCCCTTCGAAAAGGCCTTAGAACGAGAAGTTGATAGCGATGGACATCCCTGCCTGCCGATGGCGACATCTAACGATGTTTTTAAAACTAAATTCTTTAGTTCAAACTATAATAGTAATAATAATAGTGATAATAATAATAATCCGTGGGAGTAGTCTGGTCTCCTATCGGTCGCGTCCCCTGGTGGCAGATCGGGGAATGCTCTTACCGGCCACGCCGGAGGTGGGAAATAAAATACCACCCGTGGGCCAAATCCAGACGCTGTCGGCAGCGTTAAAACGCTAGGGAAGGTGACCCTCGAAAAGAAACTCACGATGGAAGGTCCCTCAGGATCAACTGTTACGGTGCAGGGGATCGGAGCCCCAGTACCTGCAGGCGGGGGTGGGCAAGCAGGCCTCCCGCGGCCGTCAACTAGCGACTGCAATCTCAGAGACGTTGACCGCTTGGCGTCCCTGAAATTCTATACTGTGACAAGCGAAAGCATAGAGCGTGCAAGTATTAGCCCCTTTTCTGGGATGTCGAAACTGCGGAGATCGCCTCCAAGTACCCCAACCACTCCAGGGATACCTACCGACCAGCGGGAGCGAAATCCAAGCACGACTGCGGAACGAGATGGTGCGGCAAATTCGCCGCAAACAGCAGTAAATCCGCTGCAAAGTGGACCATGGGGCCGGCAGGGACCTATGGAAGGAACGAAATCGGATAATCTTGTAGCAGGAAGTAAGGAAACAGCAGCTGGCCCCATAATAGAAAAATGGGGAACTATGCAGCAACTGGTAGAATTCCAAGGAAAGCTCCTAGATGAACTGAATCAAAGCCTTAGGGTGATAGAGAAGCATATGCTGAAAAACAATCCAATGAGTGTGAAGGTAGCCCTGTCTAGAGATATACAAAATACTGATACCCTGAAGTATAGGGTACAAGAGTTAGTAGATGAAAAGAGGGAATTTTCAGGGATCCTGAACTCTCTTTTTGTAGAGAGAGGAAACTAATGTAAGCGAAGATAAGAAAGACGTGCAAAGTAAAAAGTGGGTGGCACCTAGTGCACCAGAAGAGCTTATTGGAAGAGATAAGAAAGATAAACAGGAGATAACTACGGTGGAGGTTACACCAGGGGAAAAGCAAACAAATCAGGGTGAGGTGATAAAACAATCTGAAAAGACAGAAGACCAAATAGGGGAGAACTGGCAGCTTCAACAAAGGACAAAAGAGAAAAATATTCAAAAGAAGCCAGGAGCTAAGGCAACAGTCAGGAAAGTAAATCCAGCTATCAAAGTGGCAGCTAGACAAGGGGAAACTTATGCTGACATTATAAAGAAGATGAAATAGACCGTGAACCCTAGTGATCACGGCACAAAGATATTGGCTATACGGAGGACAAAAAAGAAGAGCTACTTATCGTACTTGAAAAAATTGGAAAAAATTACCTCATTGAATGAGGCTTTGGAGAAAGCAGTAGGAAATCAAGTCAAGTGAGTGCTGTAGAACGAAAGCGCCTAATAGAAATTAGAGATATTGATGAACCAGTCGCTGCTGAGGAGGTGCTGGAGGCGGTGGGCAAAAA